ACATTCCAATATTTTTTACAAACAAATATGTAGCAAGGGATTTATGGAAAATATTTACTGTATCTGTATGCTTATAATTCATTCACAGACATGCAAAAGATTTAATGACTATGTGTACTTTTTTTTTTTTTACAAAGTATTTCTTTTTTTAAATAAATATTCAATAATAAATAATAATATTCAATAATAATTATTAATATTAGCAATAATAAATATTCATTGAAATCAAGAAAAAATACAATAGGAATATTTGTAAAAAAATGTTTTTTTAACTATTTAGAAAACATTGCTTTGCCAGACACTTTATAGAATACAATCTAAGCACACACACAAAAACAAAACAAAACATAAAAAAAAAACAGAAAGTCATAAAATGTATCACTGAAATGCTCACAACACATTTAGTAAGCAACTAAATAAAAAAAACTGAATAGCATCCTTCAGGCTTCCCTCCAGAAACCCAGTTAGTCCAGCCCTGTGGGAACCGACACACTTCTATTGTATGATTGATTTAATGTGATGAATACAGAAGTGTGGGAAGCCGTGTGTCTCTGTGGCTCCACCAGCTCCATGAGCATTGGGGCGTGTGATCGGGGTCCACATTATGCCGTGAACCAGCTGTGTGTGTGTGTGTGTAACACAAGCCTGAGAACAGGTACAACCACAGATCTCATAGAACAGCTGCTTCACCAGAATATCCTGTTACATATAATACTGCATCATTACAGCATTTCAACTGATTTTAAACTGCAGCCGCATGTGCTGATTTTATTCATGAACAATTAAACTGTAAAAAAGAATCATATGTAAATACACACCTAAAAGAATATATGCATTTAAATTATTTTTAAAATGTCATTGCTTTGCACATGTCAGTCAAGGCTTCTCCAGGTGTGTCCGTGAGATTGTGCACTTCCTGTCCAAAGATGAGATAAAGACAGAGAGCCAGAGAAGACTGCTGAAGCACTTCCAGAAGCTGCAGACTTCATGTGAGCAGAACAGGAGGGAAAGTGTCCTGCCAGACCAGAACACCTTCAGTAAAGAGATGAATGTCATCAAGAGCTCCATCTTAAAGACTCAGACTGAACGTCTGCACTAGACTCAGTGGAAAATTGTTCAATTTTCCTTTTTGAGGAAAAGTGCTTATTAAATTCCAGTTTGGAATTTGTCATTATACAGTGAAGACTTGGCTTCACTTTATTTTACATTAGATGTAATGCGCTTGAATGTATAATTTGCAAGGCATGTATTCAGCTGTTTGAGTACTTCCAACTTCATGTGATTCAACATGTGTTTAAAAACATTTCGGTTTATAGAAAGAATGAAATTTCCCATCTATTTTGATGGGTTATCTACTTATTTTAAGTGATCTCAAATTGTGCTTCACATTGAAGCTAGATTTAATTTTAACCTCTTAATGAGCCTTTGAATAAATAGTTATTTCTCATTGTTTGAGCATGTTTGGACAAATCTTATCAGATTATAAAGTTTTAAACAGTTCCTTTTGGGAACAAGTTTGTTACTCATTCCTTTCATAAAGGCATGTATTGTGATGAAAACTGTTAGATTTTCAATGACTCACTTGTATTGTATCAATATACATGTGTATTTGACATTGCACGTGTAATGTGCAACACATCTGTTTTCTCATTAGAAATCTAATAAATTAAATTGCTCTTCAATCATCTTTTGCTTTTCACTGGTATTGAAAGTTATGAGCAGAACATGTTTAACACAATAAATCTTTAGTAAGTAATACCGGTTACAACATGTTAAAACAAGTTGGATTAAATAACAAAAACGCCTTTACAAAAGGCATGGTTAAATTCGAGACTAAAACTCAAATGACATGATTTTCTCGTTAAGTTATGCTTGCCATAGCCTACACTGTAGACAATTCTCTAACTAGATTAAATCGAAAAGAACATGCAAATGTTACATTAAAAAGCAACAAAGTGAATACGCCTAAACAAACGTTATGTCAAGCAGATAGTCTCTAAATTAATTGTTCTTCCACGGTCTCCATAATGGCACTCTTGACGATGATCGTTTTGGTGATCTGCGCACCAATCCACGCGCCGTGGAGGCCATTAAGTGCATCTGATTGGTCCTTTGCAGCACGTAGAATCGTTTGATCGCCTCTCTGTCGTCGGGCGTCAGGTGTGCGTGCAGAGACACGTGACGCAGCGTCTCCTGTAAGCACTGCGAGAATCCGCGCGCGTAGCTGGAATTGGCGCGTTGTTTTAAAAAAATCAACGGTCATCTCCAGAATATCGGCTTTGTCAAGTCTAACAAACTGCCGCTCGGACATTGGTGTAGTTTTGTTAAATAACTCTCTCAGATTTTCGATCAACGGAATCTCCAGAATATCGGCTTTGTCAAGTCTAACAAACTGCCGCTCGGACATTGGTGTAGTTTTGTTAAATAACTCTCTCAGATTTTCGATACTGCGGTTGATTCTGTCTCTCCGTGTTTTTTCCACAAGAATCGTTCGAAACTGCGTAGAAAGAAGAGAAAAACGGTAAGTTTGACAGTGAGTTATGGGGTAAAATAGAGATCAGAAAGGTCATATTACACTTACTTTGTGGTTCTCAGGACATGATATGCTCTCACGGTATTGACTGACCGGTGCCATTTTGGGATGATTTAATTTTTAAAAGTGTGTAAAATCCTCCCCTTGTCATGTGAAGTCGAGCGGTTCGCTCTACTTATAGCTGAGGTAAGAGTTATTTCACACTGCCAGCCAATCAGAGACGAGCGCGAGCCGCGGGCTTTAAAGTGGAGACGGCGGGTTTACGGCACACGAGCTTCCTTCCTCTCCAGCTGTGGGAAAACACTGTCACGGGCCACTAAAGTGTGCCTGACACCCGCTTAGAAGTCCAGTAGTGCTGACAAGACCAACAAGTCGCTGTGAGGCAATAAAACAACTCAGACACGCTTCAGACAGAGAGTCTTTGATCCTGAGGTCTTATTGCTCCAGTGAAAACGGACTTTCCCAGCCTCAGGTTCCAGTTTATTGCGCTGATCTGTGTTATAGAGGAATGCTGATTTTTCGAAGTGAATTTTGGATGTGATTTTAACAATGTAATCTGCTCATGCTTGAGTTCATTTAATGTTTACATTTCTTTTTAGCTGATTATCTGAAAAAGTTTAAGTTGAAACTTTTAATTCAGATTCCACATTTCAATTTGACTTAAAGAGAATTTGGTCTTCCTGATAGAAATCATTGAAATAATCTGATTAACTGCCACATCAAAACATTTATTAGTAACAGACGTTATTTATTTATTATTATTATTATTGTTGTTGTTTATTTATTAATATTTTTAATAAATAATCTACATTGACTTGGGGAATAGTAATATAACTCCTGAAATAATATGAATATTTCTTCTTCTTCTTTTTCTTTTTTTATTAGTTTCACTAAAAATGAAATATGAATATTTACAAAAATATTAAAATTATTAATATATTTTGAAAAAGGTTTTTAACAAAGTATAGATCCATATTTAGTCTTAAGGTTTTTAGAAAACATTAAACTTAAACATCTTATTTTTACTTTTGAATGACCTGGCTTTTTGAAAAACATGTGCTCTCGCCATGATTATGGCCAGAAGCTGACATGGTGGAAGGAGAATATTTAATTCCCAGCACTGGATTGTGTTAGTCAAGAAAATGTTTACATCACGTGTAGATAAAAAAAGTGCATGCAAATCTTTAGTTTCATCACATATTTATATCATTAAACACTTAGTTTGGTTATTGAAAGACTGATTGACCTATTGATTAATTGGAACTAGATAAGGTAAATGCAAGTCCTGTGGGATTTGTACTGCCAGTGTTTGATTTGATTTGTGGAGGACGCCTCACCCACTGGCCTCTGAGTGTGGGAAAGCTAATCCTGACTGGGACTCATAGCTTTGTAATGCTAATGAGCTCCTATAAATAGAGGAGCACGACCCTCATTCCCAACACAACTGACTCGCTCTCCTCAGAGAAAGTTCTCTCCATCTGAAAGAATGGCTCCAACCTACAAGACTGACTACTCTAAACTTTCCATCAAGGAAAAGCTTAAAGTAAGTATTTTTGACACTTGAAATGCAATTGTTTCTCAACATTTCTCTTTTGTTCTGCCATGAATTTTGAAGCAAACAACTAACCGATTGTCTCCTTCCTCAACAGTTGAGAAAACCAGTGGTGGAAAAGATGCGCCGAGATCGCATCAACAACTGCATCGAGCAGCTCAAATCCATGCTGGAGAAGGAGTTCCACCAGCGGGATCCAAACACCAAGCTGGAGAAAGCCGACATCCTGGAGATGACGGTGGTTTTTCTGAAACAGCAGCTGCAGCCCAAGACCTCGGCTCCACAGAAAGCCCACTTTGACGGCTATTCCCAGTGTTGGAGGGAGACCGTGAGCTTCTTATCTGGAAACACCAAGGTGGATGCTGTACGTCAGCATCTGAACCACTGCCAAGAAGCCCAGAGATCATCTAAAGACCTCACTCACATGTCTCCAGCTTCCCATCAGTCCACCAAGGTGAAGCAGGAACCATGTGCTCACAGACCTCTCTGGAGACCCTGGTAGACGATGAAAGACTTCCACAGAAAAACTAGATGGTGGTTTTACCGTCTCTTATGTTGTAGGAGATGCTTCCTTCTCTAAGTTAATTTAAATTTTTAATATAATTAAAAAACATTTCTATGAACGTTAAAACTGGGGGCAGTCGTGGCCTAATGGATAGAGAGTTAGACTTGTAACCCGAAGTTTGTGGGTTTGAGTCTCAGCTCCGGCAGGGATTGTAGGTGGGGGGAGTGAATATCCAGCGCTCTCTCCACCTTCAATGCCACGACTAAGGTGAATCAAAGAATCCTTAAAAAAAATGTA